ATACACATCTGGTTTTATGGCGCTGTAACTAACGATGCACACAGAAACCCGGGCATGCCTTCGCTTACTAATACAGGGATACATACACTCACAAGCCTATGCATGCACTGCTTCTGTGTTTGCACTACCATGGTACGCTCTACTGCCACAATACGAAGTGCACGGCAGATATGCCGGCGCTCGTAAGCGAAGTGAAAGGAAATATGAAACATGAGCAAGTATACCCGGTACTCTCGGGTGCAGAGCCGACTTTCCGTGTTCTGATTCCCCTAGGTCTTGACTCGTTGAAGGCTGTGGCGTGTGAGTACTCAGTTCAATCTTTATTGCAATATCTCAGTACAGCCGCATTTCTCAATGACTTGCTGCAATGGGCCCCACAACAACGCACAGCTAATGTGACCGTGGCAAGACGGTATTTCTGCAAATCGGCGAAAACATATACACTATACACACGTGCTTTGTCTATTGTGCGGTGCCATAACATATCCTGTCATAGATTGTATCGGGTTTTATAATGTCTGTAAGTTGCCAGGTTAAGAGGTCGGTGACATCATCCATGCTGAGACCAGTATGTATATGAATGTACAGATGGATGGGTAGACAAACAGACAGATGGATAGATACATGGATAGGCAGATAGATATATGGAAGATGGTCAGATAACTTATCTACACGCATGTCTGCAATATTTGTGCGTATAAAAAGGTAACCTTCATGTGTAAAACGGACTTTCTAGAGCACCTGGCATCTATTCTATGACATGGTGCGGCAGTATATGACATAGTATACAAACCCGACACGTGTTCAAAAGATATGGTCGAGGCCCATCTGGATGCCTTCCATCCTCGCGATTCCCCTTGACATATCCCGATGGTTTACATGGTGCTTGGACCGTTGAATTGTTCGCACACACAGCGTTTCTATAAGATGCTCACTTCTTCTAAACAAGTCTGTGTTCATAAACAAGGAAGGGCGTTCATACGCACCCCCCCACAAATCATGAATTGCATGCTCAACAGAAACCGGGAATACAAACAAATTCACGTGGTGTGGTATGCTAGATAAGCTTGGCATGTTCTTCCATCAAACATGCAACAGGTCAGGGTATCAAATCAAATTTACGGTAATGTTTGTGCAATTGGTGCGCGTTCTCGTGTTCTCCGTCTTGGTTGGTGTCTGGCGCACCCGTGGGTGGGGTTAGAATAGCTATTCATACGGCCCACGAGTGCCTATAAACAACAGGATATTGCTTATAAGCCGTGCTAATAAGCAGAAGGCCTGTTTGTAGGCAACCGGACTGCTTGTAAGCAGACAGCCTGCTTATAAGCAGCCGGATTGCTTATAAGCAGACAGCCTGCTTATAAGCAGCCGGACTGCTTATAAGCATAACATAAGATAGATTAGACAGTAGTCTTGTTTACGTAGACCCTACACGCAGAAGAACAGCCACAGCGGAAGGTTGTCCGGGCACATCAGCCGTGGCGGAAACCAAAAAAAACAAAAAAACCAAAGAAACCAAAGAAACCAAAAAAAACAAAAAAAACAAAAAAAACAAAGATTTCCGCACTAGTCTGAAGGATTCCGACTAGTGCGGAAATCTTTGGTTGTTTTGTTTTTTTTGTTTTTTTTTGGTTTCTTTGGTTTTTTTGGTTTGGTTGGTTTTTTTGGTTTTTTTGGTTTTGCTGAAGGTTTAGGGTGTGGGTGTAAGGCTTGTGCTAGTGTAACTACGGCTTGCAGGACTTCCAGGGGTCCAGAGGGCCTTCCGAAGCATGCAAAGCAACCCTGAACGACAAGTACCGAGCAAGTAGTGCAAAAAGTGCAAAACACTGGATGTGCAAAAACCCAGGCCCCATGGCAGTCCCTTCTGTAAGGAATACACACTGAATCATATGAGGGGATCCTATTTCATTAGAGGTATATTCCTTAAGCAAATGAAATGGAAGGTCTGAGAGAATAGTAGGATCCTATTTCATTTAAGGTATCCCTTAATCAAGACATATTGGGAGGTCTGAGAGAACGACAAATCATGGCAGAATCTGGCTGGAAGGGGCCAGGGGGCTTGAAGCCCTGTAGGACCTTCGGATGAAACTGCAATCTAAATGGGAGTTTCCGAAAATAGGGGATTATAGTATAGTACCCTAAATAGTAGGATCCTCAGCATAAAGGCCCCAAAATAAGGTACCCCGAATTTTCGAAACTTCCAAGATGTCAGCCCTAAACCCTAGCCAGACCCGGAAATCCTCGTGACAGGCAGCATCCACGGTCGGGGCAGGTGTTGGCGTCGCAGCCGGTTTTGGCACAGGCCCAGCATGCCGCCTTCTTCTCTATCGTAATGTTGGAGTTTAGGGCTTGCGGTTTTGGGTGTAGAGTTTGGGGTAGTATTTGCTTTATAAGATTTATGGTTTTTTGGTGCTGAAAGTCTGGTGTTTCCTCTCACACCGTGGTTTTACGTAGGACTCGCTGAACGCTAGAGTAATCTTAACTGAAGGTTTTCGCGGGTTTGGGGGTCTAGAGTTCAGTCTTTAGCGGCTTCGGGTTCAGGGTTGAGAGCTTAGTTTCGGGTTTAGGTCCTAGGGCTGTTTAGGTCCTAGGGCTGACGGTTTAGAATTTGGGGTTTTGGGTTGAGGGGTTAGACAGGGCGTAGGGAAACCGGGCTTTTTTGGCAGCGCGCCCCTCCTGTGCAGCAGTAATACTGTTGGCTAGTCTCTTTGAATATGGAGTTGAGAGGTTTTGCTTGCAAGATGCTGCAGGTGCTTATGGGCACTACGGGAAACTATACCAAGCCTGATGAGCTTAGGCGCAATGACGGCTCATTGCTAGGAGGTTTATGTGGTTGCGGCTTATAGAGTTCAGCTTAGCCTGGGAAGATTGGACGTACTACTCTCTGGTTGACTTGTCGGGTTACTGCAAGGGCTATACATAAAGTTTCCTACAGGGTTCTCTAAGGGATACTATAAAGGTTACAGTGTTTATCCCGGACGCTTTTCTCTGCTGTGAGGCGACTACCAGGTGGTCGCCAGACCTCCAACCATGAACGCTCTGAAGCCACGGCTTCAAGCGGCGACTAGACAAAGATTCAACAAGTCTTCAGTTGACAGGGGATTAAAGCCCGGATCTGTCTGCGTCATCAATCAACATGGACACAACATTATTTGCTACAGACCCTTGTTATGGTAACTGGAACTAGACAACACAGTGATTCCGGCTAAAGGTCTTAAATGCAGGAAACGTAATTTTATTAAAGGTCTCCCTACAACCTGAGCCTACAGCCGAAAAGCTCATGCATCCGGATGTCCCTAGAATTTACTTTACACGACGAACACTGCCGCAGGGCCGAGGACCAAGTTGGTTTTTATAGAACTGGACTGGGTTTTAGTGGCTGAGTACCCTAGCTCCAAAAAGGTTAACCTTCTCAATGATGGTAAGAATTATATAAACCCCAACAGCTTAAAAGGTTACCTACTCAGCTACTAACCCTAAGGCTCTAAGGACTCATGTACTAAGGCTTTTGGGCCCAAAGACCATACTATAAAAGGCTTTTGGGCCATTTTGAGCCTTATGGTAAGCTTTATGGGGTGCATTGACAATCATCCTGCAAGGCAAGGGGTCGTACCACCAAGCCAGATTCCCTAAAGCCCTCCATAAACAAGAGTTCTACCCAAAGGCCCCAAAGTAGTTCCTTTTTGGGGTTCATATATAGAATCCTAGACGGTAAACCCAAAAAGGAACTACTTTGGGGCCAATGGGTAGGCTCCAGACCCTAGCGACCGAAAGTCGTAATGCTCAGACGATTATATCCCCAATGGTCGGGACACCTATTCAAAAGTACCTCATTATTGGGCCCTGTGGACCCTTAGGGTGTAAGGTATACCTAGGTTTTCTGCAGGTATACACCGGTGCACACAGGGTAAAAGACCAAAGGATTTGCTTTCCATCAAATTGCCGGCATGCCAAGCAGGAACACTACTACTTGTCCATCAGGCTCTGGACAGGCATGAAACATCATGAAGCCCTACAACTCCGAGACACATGAAACAGGCCCTAAGCCCTAGACGGCCCTAAACCCTGAAACCCTCAGCTGAACACCCTAAAACCCTAAAACCCTAAGCTGAACACCCCAAAAAACCCAACGAATGCCTGGTCGCCCCCGGGCACCCCCTGCAACAGACTGTCGAAAGACGCGGATTTGCTATGGAGATCAACGCCCCAAGCAACAACGGAACTTGCCAAGCTGTGCTCGGCCTGTCTAGGGAATACGGGTTTAGGAGTTCGGGCTTTGGGGGGTTTAGGATTTTAGGGTTTAGGATTTTTTTGAGATTTGCAGGAGACGGGTCAGGGTCACTGCATAAATGAGTAGGAGGGAAACCACTACAAGGTTCCTGAAGGACCAAATGACCCTCAAAAGTAGGGGCCCTCTACCCGTATACTATGAATCCCTATATGGGATATGAACCTTAAACCCTTTTAGGGTTCATTTCGTCCTTAAGCTTAGCAGCAGCTGCGCATTATCATGGTGAGGCCTTGCCCACCCCTAGGGCCATGTAATCATAGGGATCCTTAGGGTTTAGGGCTTAGGGTTTAGGGTTTAGGGTTTAGGGGGGGTAGGGGGCCTTAAGGCCCATAATAATGACTAATAAGGCCTATTTAAGGAAATATAGTCCCCTACACCCCTCCCCCCTACACCCCTAAGGATCCCTATGATGTAAAGGCCCAGAAAACGGCGCTGCTGTGCGTGGTCTCTGTCCCCCCAACAAGGGGATGCCCAAAGGGTGCATGTACATAATAATGTAGGAACCTGATTAAGAAACCTTGGGCCTCTGTTAGAGTTCCTTATTGAATCCCACAATATTGGGGTTATAGGACCAGGATTTCTTAATCAGGTTCCTAGATTAGTTGATTTCCGCCGGCTCATACGGTCTATCTTGCTTAAGTACATGGCCCCTTGGGACCGAAACAAAAGACCTGTCATGCAAATGAAAAGCACTGCGGACCGCATGCTCTCATGCGCTGCTGGTAGCTGCAGTAGGAACGACCTTGTGCTTCACGGGAGGCTCGAAGAACATGCGCTTGCCATACCTCAGTCTCAGAGGTTCCAAAATCCCTATATTTCTAAGGGTACTTTGACCTTAAAGTAGTCTACTTTGGGGCCGAAGTCTATACTGTTTGGGTGCACGGACCCTTCGGAGGGTATGGATTCAGGAAATTTCCGGAACATACCCTCAACTAACTCAAACTTATTCGGGACCCCGTCAAGAAGGATCCTGCCTTCGTAGAGGCGCTTTACAGTTGATGCGTAAGTAGGGCGGTTTAGGGTTAGCTTGCGCAGCTCACAGACAATCGTAGTCAAGGCATGAACAACCTCATGGTTCAACAACCCCGGGCACCCAGAACCCAAAACCTTGGCTGTGGGACCCTAGACCAACATCTCAAGGAGCAGAAATGGCACCCTTCACTCTAAACTCTAAGCCTCTGAGCCCTAAACCGCACTCCCGAAACCCTAATCCCCAAACGCCTCAAACCCTGAGCACGAAACTCGGAAAGTTTGAAGACCCCGGGCCTCAACCTCACACGTCAAACCTCCAAAAAACAAGTTGAATTCCTCTGTTCGGGTTTAATGCTAAAAGCTTTTTGAAGGGGTTTGAATTTAAAATTTATAGTTTAAGTTTAAGATTTAGGGCTTAGGGGCTGCGGTTCTACGGTTAGGCCCCAGGATGTAGGCAGGGTTTGGTGCTTGGTTTGCGTTTCAGGATTCCAAACCCAGAAATTGCTGAAAAGAACCGAAGTACAGACATATATATATATATATATACATAATTACACGTATACATACACCCAGACACACTTTTCATCAAAGCCCTCATGTATGTGTGTATAGAACCTACCCCACCCCACATGAACGACGTGAAGTTTGAGCTCGGGCGTTGGCTAACCTTACCCCGGGCATCAAAATAGCCCCAAAGCCTTATATAGTATGGTCTTTGCGCCCAAAAGCCTTAATATATGAGTCCTTAGATGCCTAGGGCTACTGGTTTACTAGGATACCCAGTAACCTAGGAATAAAAAGGCCTCTCTTTTTGGTATTGGGTAACTTTATAAGGAACCTAGGACTACAAAAAGGGAAAAAGGGTACTACTGGGCATCCTAGTTTATCATGGAGGAAGTTCCGATCGCAATTTCAGGTCTCTGGCAGTCGAGGGTGCTCGGGTTCCGGGCTTAGGCTGAGGGCTTCTACTTGGAGGGTCGGGGGACTTAGTATAAGTAGAGGCTCCTTTAAAGGGGATTATAAGGGTTCCTTTAAAGGGCTCTATAAAGGGTACTATAGGGTTTAGGGTTTAGGGTTCGGGGACTTAGTAAGTAGTTATTATATAGACTTATAGGTACCTTAATAGGGACCCTAATTGGGGTTATGGTATTTATAACTCTATAAAGTAACTACTTACTAAGTCCCCCGACCCCCCAAGTAGCTTTTTGCAGGGAGGACCCCTTCTTGAGGAAGTGGCCCCCTACTTCGAGGTAGTTATAGTTATAGGTAGGATAACTATATATACATATATACAGGAATTATAACCCCACTTCTAACTATCTATTGTACCTCCATGTAAAGCCTTCAGCTGCCAAGACACCACATGCCCACAGGCATGAAGTGCCAGTACACTTGCCTTTTAGGGTTTGGGGATTTTTCAGGTTAGGGGCTTAAGGGTTTATAGGGGTTGAGAGTTTCGGGTTTGCTTAAGGTTACGGGCTTTGGGTTAGGGATCTAGGGTGTATGTGGGCTCTAGACTGGAGGGCTGAGGGTCCAGAGGTGCCAGACAATCTTGATTGATCGCGGAATATGCCGGAATATGCCTGACTATGCGGCTCTTGACTCCTTTGAGAGTCTGGCTTAAGGACGGTTCCGTGATCTAGACCCCATCGCATGACGTTAAAATTTCGACGGCACCATGGGCTAGGCCCGGATCGCGTGAACATACACATTTGTGGGCAGAACAAACGGGCGCAGTGTGTCTGAGTTAGGACGGAGGGTTTAGTAACCCTTTACGTAGTTCCAAGAAGCATCGTCGTACAGATAGGAACGTAGATCATAGATCGACGGATACATCGACAAGCAAAGGCACCACGATCCTGAAAGCTGGGCTCCATGGTCGCATTCCAGACCTAGCTGCGAAGTATCTACGTATGCCAAAACTGAAAGCCGACAACCCCGGTTTTTCCTGCATCCTAAACCTTCACTGCTCTAAAGCCTTCAGCCCTGTAAGCCCTCGTGCAAATCTTCTTGACCTTCAGTGATAAGAACGTACTGAATCCAAAAAGTAGAACATATGCAGCAGTCAATGCCAACTCTAAACTCCAGCCTTGCGGGTACGAGGTTGTCGAAGGAGGTTTGCGGAATTCAACCCCACAGCCCGGTTTAGGGTTTAGGGTTATCCAGGAATCAAATTCCCAAACCTCATCCACGAATTCATAAGCTCCAAGCCCCGCGCATGAGCTTAGGTCTCGTGAATCCCAGCGGCTCAAAGATCCATCGCTTCATGATGTAGAACAGTGTGTTGGGCTTCGCTTGGTCCAGCGGCGGTGCAAAGGTAGGCATGGCATCCTGGACTGAAGCACCCGTCTCGGCTTATGCCGATGGTTCAGGGCATTAGCATAAGCATCTCAGCTTCGCCTTCAAGCATTGAAGAACTGACATGTGGCTGTGGGAACTACCCCGAAGCCCTAAACCCTTAAACCCTGAATGCTAAAAGACACAGATCCCCTAGACTTGAGTCAGACAGGTAGCCCACTGCAAGGGCACAAACACAGCAAGACCAAATGAAGAGCACAGGCAGAGCACCATCTGAAAAGCCGGAGATTCCAGAAGCTCTAAACCCTATAAGGCCTGCCTTGAACGGGTTTAGGGATTTAAGGGTTTGGGGTGTAGGGTAGAACCCTAAAGCAGACAAACCAAACTGACTGCACCTGTAAACCCTGCCGAAATCAGAATCAGACTGCCGCAGTCACAAACTCCCTGCGCAGGCATGAATCCATAGTGTATCCATTGAACTCCGCTAGCATCAGCTTGTTTCCGCCAACCAGCACAGGGCAGGCGGTATACCTCAACAGCTGGACCAGGGTAACGGACTGAAGTTCATATCTTAGGGCCTAGACACCGAGCTTGACGGGTTTATAGGTGAAGGTGCTCAACCTCGCACCCGACTCTAGTTATAGGATCCTTAAGGGAGGGTGGTTGAAGGGGGGAGGGTATAAGGAATCCTTAGGGGACTGTAAAGGAACCTTAGGGAGTACTAGGGAGAATTAGGGATCACTAGGCTATCTACCCCCCTTGGACCCCCCTCCCTTAAGGATACTGTAATCTAGCATGTTAGAAGGGAGTACTTTTTGCCGAGTCGTAGTGCAAGCCCCGAAATGGACCGTGTAGGATTCCTCTGCACGGGCCAGGTATTGGCTGATGAAAACCCCAATGCTCAAACCAAATGAACCGATTCCAAACCCTATGTCAATCTTGAAAGGGTCATGAGCAAGAAAACGGCTGCAGGTACTACAACTACGGGCCTAGGAATAGTCACGAAGGACATTAGGGCTACTGAGCCTTCAAACCCGAAACCGTAAGCTGTAGAACCATAACCTCTCCGAGGCGAAAAATAACCTGCAGCCTAAGGCCTATAGCCTCTCAGCCAAGTGGCCCGTCATAAGCTGCTGTCGCATTTTGCGGCTTGCCTGATGGCCAGATGCACATTAAAAGACTATAATGGGCCATAATATACTGGCTCAAGTTCTTTTGGTTTATGCACTGCACTCTAGCAAACCTCAGAGAGCCCAAAACCCATTGATGAAGACATGTCCCTCAAATCATCTTCAGAAACCGCGTAGAAACCCTAGGGTACTTACGTTCACAGAGGGCTAGTTCCCAGAGAGCCCAATACCCCTTAATTAAGGAATATGGCTTAAATTATATAGGGCTTCATATTTTGATTTATTAAGCTATATTCCTGACCCTAAACCCTAAACCCTAAACCCTAAACCCTAAACCCTAAACCCCTCTCTGGGTTGGTTCTCTGGGTTTCTTGGCCCGAAACCCCTAAACAGAGGGCTGGAGTCCCTAGCCCAAGCAGGTTAGCCGTTTAGCTATAGTGGGAAATACGTAAGCCATGTTTTGGGTTGTAGGGCTTTGGGTTTAGGGTTTACGGGTTTAGGGTTTAGGGTTTTAGGGTTTAGGGTTTAGGGGTTTGGGGTTTAGGGTTCAGGGCTTAGGGGTTTAGGGAAATACGTAAGCCCCAACAGGTTAAAGTTTACCTATACTCAGCCCCTAAGTGGGAGTTTCCGAAAATTAGGGTACTGTAATTTGGGGTCCTTAGAAACAGGATCCTACTATTTAGGATCCCCTATTAGGATCCCCGATGTTGGCAAACTCCCGAGTGAACCTCAGGTCTTGTCCGACCTTTACTGAACTTAGAACCCCTAGCAAAAAATATAATTTTAGCTGTCTCTTAGGGATTATAATAACCAAAACTTTAAAAAACATTTCTAAGTACCCCTAAGCTGCTGTCCAACATGGCCATGACGTTGTGCACCTGAGCTGAGCCGGGGCGTAGCTCAATTCCCCAAACAAAAAGCACTGAAAGCCTTATGTAGGGGGCCTTAATAATTAGAACAGGGTTCGGGGGCTCCTTATAGTATAATGTACCCCAAACAAAAAGCACTGAAAGCGGGCAAAGTACTATGGGGGCCTTAATAATTAGAATAGGGTTCCTTAGAAGGGTTCTTAAGAAGGGTCTATAAGGGTTACTATAAGGGCTACGAGAAGGGTCTAGAAAAGGGGCCTTAATCATTAGAACAGGGCTTGGGGGCTCCTTATAGCATGCATCCCAAACCCTAGTCTAATTCTTAAGGCCCCTATACTAAAGCCCCGAAACCCTAAGACACTTGACGCCTGAAACCCTCAAGCCCCAAAGCCCTGAACCCCAAACAACGAGGCTGGACTCAGAGGAAGCCTTAAGGAAACCCTTAACAGGAACCCATGACCAGGAACGTGGAGCCTTGCGGTTTAGGGTGTAGGCTATAGGGTTGCAGGGCTTTGGGTTCACAGGGCTTGGGATCGTCGGGTTAGAAGCTTGAGGACTGTATGGTTATAGGTTTATAGGCTTTAGTGATGTAGGGTCCAGGGTATATAAGGGTCTTCCAGTATATGAAATGAGGTATCGTACACGTATGGTATGGTAAAGACCGCAAAGGAACAGTATTACTGCTTTTCTGGTTTCTATATCACGCGGAACGCAAAATCCCAGAACCCTGAACCGCCAAATCCCACCTACTTGTCGGGTGTCATGGGGAACTAAAGGTCAACCTTTTTGTTATATAGGGGCTATATAGGGACTATACTACCCAAAGAGGCTAAAGGTTCCCTACCCTACTACTGTTACTAGGCCCATATTCCCTTGGGGCTTTGTGATCTGAAAGAGGTTGTACGGCTTGGTGTTTTCGGGTTTAGGCTACGATCAACGAAACATGGACCTTAACCCCCAAACCGAAGGCCTAAACCCTCTAACCCTAAACCCTACAAGCCCTAAACCCTAGATACAACGAGCCGCTGGACTGACCCGACCACCCGAACCCTAATTTTCCTGTTAGGGTTCCCGCCCCTCGTCCCAGATCCGCATCCGGCTCCGTTGATAAGAACCCTTCTCTTGGGGTTGAGACTTCCCTCCGAAACATCCGTGAGCCCCTCCCACCCCAATGCGAAACTCTACCTACACTCTTAGGCCTACAAGCCAAGTCCGCAAGCCGTACAAATTTAAGTAAAGTTACCTTACTTCTGACAATACACGATAAGTCCACTGATCCCTCAAGCAGCAAGCTAAGGATGGCACAACCACGGGTGCTTGCGAGGAAATCGCGCTGTAAGTCTTCGATGTGGGAAGCGAAGAACCTCGGTGCAAGGAACTGAGTTTACCCAGAGGGTCCAAGTACCCAAATAGTAGGGTTTCAGGTCCCAAAATCCATACTCTGACCCTACTATTTGCGTACTTGGACCCTCTGGGTTATATACCACCCTTGAGGTAGCTTCAACAAAGGCCTTTATTACAGTCGCTGTCAGTAGGTATGGTTTTCTTGATCGAAGGCTAAACCATAAACCTTATACCCTAGACACTTAGCTCTACCACCAAAACGAGACAGTCTTGCAGCTAACCTAAACCCTAAACCCTAAATTGGGCTTTGTAGCAGTCACCCAGTGAGAAGACGTTGGCGAACTGCGTGTGCTGGCATGTCTCCTGCATGGACAAACGAGGGACCTTACCTGAACCGCAGACAACCTGTCTCTACTTTTTAGGGGTTCCTCGCTATGATTACCTTATATGAGCCCGTGGTTCTTTAGTCCAGGTGCTGCTGCGAGAATGCTTGCGGGCATTGCTTAATACCTCGACTCGGGTTTCGGCATGCTGTCTGTCTGCCGGTATAGGCCGAAAGACATAAGGGGTTACCAGTTCGAACCCTTACCCTAAGAGTCCACATCATGTGCCCAAATAGTATATACCTTGGCCTTACAGTATCGTCCCTATATAGGTACTTACTTCGGGGCCAAAGTATATACTGTTTGCATACATGGACCCTTAAACCCCCAAGCCCTGTAAAGCCTTCATAGAACCGCTATAGTAACCCTTTAAGGAACCACTATTTGGGCTCATGGACCCTTAAAGCTGTACTGGATTCAACGGGGGCTGAGGTTTCGGAGGAGAGCTCCAAACTCCTTCACTACAGGAAGGGTCGGGGGACTTAACTGGTCATTTTCGGGACTTATAAGTACCATAACCCCAATTAGGGTCCCTATTAGGGTACTTATAAGTCTACTTACTACCTACTTACTAAGTCCCCCGACCTTCCAAGTACGGATCCAACGAACCGGCAGTCCGAAAGTCTAATCTCTTCATTGGGTGGTTGTCAAAATTATGGTCCCTTTGGGGGTCCCTAATGTAGAACGGCACCTATTATTTAGGGTACCCGAAAAGGGGCCATGATTTTGACAACTACCCTCATGTCGAGTTTAGGAGCTTAGAGTTGAGAGTTTAGGGGCATAGGGTTTTGGGGGGTCTGGTTTAAGAGTGTAGGTTAGGTACTGCCCCCATACAGCAAGAGTCTATAGTAGGGCTACTAGTAAGGTCCTAATACATCTATACTATGAATATTATTCAACTATTATTGGGCACTGGCCGCCGTACCCAAAGTGTAGGCTTTAGAGAACTTAGGGTGCAGGACTGGGGATTGGTGTCCCATCGGCCGATCGGCGACAGGAAAGACCCCAAACTAAAACCCTATAGCCCTGAAACCCGCTAAGCCCTACAACCCGAAACCGTAAATCCCCCCAAAGCCTGTACTTAGCCTAAAATCCTAAAACTTTTAAACCCATTCAAAACCCTGGAAAACCACAACCGTCCAAAGAGGCGGCTTCTGCTACAGTGGTTCTTTCGGTCTTACAGCTTTGGGGTTTAGGGTTTCGGGTATTTTGGGTTCCGGGATTTGTGGGTCTGCGGGACTCAGGTTTGGGGCTTTCAGGGTTTCGGGTTTGGCCTTTCGGATTCAGGGTTTAGGGTTTAGGGGTTAAGGGGTTTAGGGTTTAGGGTTTAGGGTTGTCCTTGTCAACATCAACGAAGCCGATGCTGTTGGCCAGAGGGCTGTTCCTCAGCTCATAGGGTGTACTGTGTACTTGAAGTGCTTGTTGTTCTGTTTCCTGCTGCTGTGACGCCACGGCACCACGATGATGGAAATAAAGGCCATAAGAACTATGGCAGAAAACAATGAGATGTGCCCAGGAAAGTGTGGTCATCCCTCCCCATCGGGACAGGACAGAGAAGGAACCATGACATTTCAGCCAGCCTTGCAAACCGCAGTTCAAGCCTGACACCCATCGATTTACTGTTGACGGCTTCCCGACTACTACGGTTGATGATATAAACCCTGCATTACCCGTAATAAGAAATATGCCATAATTCCCACAGCTTAGGGTCCGTAAGGTAATGCACGATTTATATCATCAAAAGTACGACACAAAAGGCAACTTTGAGGTGATGTTGAGACTACGAAGCTCGAGGGGGCCAAGAATGCCAGTCGAGACAGAGAGCCTCAATGCCAGATGCCATCCATGTGGGAAAGTTTGCTGTCTGCTGCGGTTTAGGGTTTAGGGGTTTAGGGCTTTAGGGTCTTTAGAGGTTTAGGGCTTTAAGGGGCTTAGGGTTTATATACTGGTTTGGGATGGTGACTGGGCCTAGGGATATGACTTGGGCAGCTCCACCTAAACCCTTAACCGAGGCTCTTGATGAAGTCTGGCGCGCTCATGGGCGGAGTCACATGCCTTGGCATTGCTGTCGCATCAGCTTCAGGAACGGCTTCCTGCACTCTCTTTCTGAAAACGCTTGTGAGCCGTGAGAAATGACCAGCCATGACACATTCACCAAACCCTCGCGGGATGCCGATGTCGGCCTTGATTAATCGTGTTTTCCGCCCAGAACAACAATGACAACACCCCTGGAGCACATCCATCACGAGCCCGGCAGCTCTTGTCACTGACCATCCTATACCTTGATGATTGAATGCGCCATTCATGCTTCCACTTCTACGCCGAGTTAAGCCGAGAGCTGTTTCGGCTTAGCAAGTGTGACGTCAAGAACAAATGCCTGAAAGCCCTGAACTCGTGACCCTCTAAAGGGAACTCCAGAAAGTTGGAATATGGATTAATGGTAGGATCCCCTATAATTTACCTTAAAGGGGTTACGATAATGATATTCCAACTTTCTGGCTTCTACTGTACTCTAAATCGCAAAGATCAAAACCCCAAACCCACAGCCCGAATCAAGTGTAAACATGGTACCTTCAAGAAGAGAACTTGTCTGTTATTCTAGGGTCCTACTGCTTCTTGAGGAGTGCTCACGCCCAAATCCTAAAACCCCCCTGAGCCTACACTAAGTCCAAGCGTAGAACCCTAAACCTCAAATCGCCAGAGGCCAGAGGACAGAAAGTCGAACTCCTTCTTCACCCGCTCGCCACCCTCTTTCTCGAAGATGGCCACCTGTCATTCGTTCACATTGCAAAGCCTCCTAAACCCTAAACCCCTAAACCCTAAACCCCTAAACCTAAACCCTATCCCTAAACCCTGAACTTTCTGTCTTCGGAGCATGGGCCTTACCCCTACACCGGCTTCAGCCAAGGAGTCGGCCTTGCTACGAGGGTCTTCATGCTTGGAACAGGGCTTCGGAGTAATGTAGGAACCTGATTAAGAAACCCTGGGCCTATAATCACAAAAGAGTATATAGGATTCATCTAAGGAACCCTAACAGAGGCCCAAGGTTTCTTAATCAAGTTCCTACACTATACTGTGGGATGAGAACGACACATACGGTTGATGATACAAACCTGGCATTACCCATAATACGGAAGATACCATAATTCCCATAGTTTAGGGTCTTTAAGGTAAGGCAGGTTTTATATCAACCGTAGGGATTAAAAGAAACTGTTCTAACATACAAGAGATACTACAGACGCGCCATGGGGACTGCCTCAAGCCGTCTGTCCACTTTATTCTGTCAAGCATCGCAAGATACCAAAAGCCGGCAAGCTGAGACGTTGGCTACTTTCTGCCAGGTACCTAAAGAAAGTTTTCCCTAAACTAGGAATCCTGAAACCATGACATCATGAACACTAAACCCTGCATCCTGAATCCCTTGTGGTTCAAGGCCTGTTTGCACAGGTCAAACATCCCTAAGCCCCGAAATTCCAAAACAAATAAACACAAAACCTTAAACTTAAACATCCCTAAACCCTAAACTCCATGGAACCATAAACACACAAGCTTGAACTAGAGCATCCCTAAACTGGAACATCCCCATGAGAACCCTTTGACGTCCGTAGCGCTGCCTTCCCCGGCCCGTCCACTTCGACGAGATTGGTCTTCACGTGCGGGGTGATGCTCTTCCTTAGCTAGCCCTAACCCCGAGGGTCCAAAGGACCTAATAATCAGGTACTCGGTTTTAGGATAGTAGTTACGTAGGTTAGGATTTTGGAGAGTATATGATTATCAGGTACTTGGACCCTTGGGGTAAGGGTCCATGTACTCATGTAGTATATACATTGTCCTTAAAGTACTCCCTATATAGGTACATTGGGCCCAAAGTATATGCTATATGGGTACAGTGACCCTTAGGGTGGGATACTGTGGGGGCCTCAACAGCTAGAATAGGGGTTTTGGCTATATTGCACTATAACCAGGAACCCGCAAAACCCTATTCTAATTCAGGTCCCCTACAAAGGATACGGTTCAGGGTTTTTTTTTACACATGTTGGACCCAGCCCTCCCACTAAGTCTCCCCCACGAAGGGGCATGCGGTGAAACCACTGCGGTTCAGGGTTTAGGGGTTAGGGAGCCCGAAACCCTTGAACCCAAACTCTACGGGTTCAATAAGAGGTTGAGGACTTGTGGGGGTTAAGGGTTTGGGGTCCAGCGCAGGACCGATAAGCTCTCAACAGCCTATAAAAACCTAATCAAGAACACTCTTAAACCGACCGTAAACCCCTTTATTGAACGAAGGCTTCACAGACTGCTATCCGAACATATAGAAACCTGGAGGCGTATAGAACACTTAAAGAAAAAAGACCCCCTCAACCAGCTGTCTCTGAACCCGAAACCCTGAACCCATGAAGCCCTGAGAAGGCCCTCTCGGCTTCATGATAACTATATAACCAATTAGACAAATAAATGCATACATACATATATATATATATATATATATATATATATATATATATATGTATATGTATATATATATATATATCTATATATATATATATCTATATATATAATACACACAGAATATATACATACCCCACATTTGTAGCACCCTTAAGGAAGGCCCCCTCAGCCAGGTGTCTCCGCCATGATCTTCTCCAAGGCTGCGCGGTACGTCGGGCAGGCGAAGATCCCGGGCGTCGCGGTGCAGAAGTCGATCTCGATCTTCTCCCGCACCTCAGAAGGAGGTTTTGGGTTTAGGGATTAAGGTTGTAGGGTTTAGGTTTAGGGTTCAAGGGTTCAGGGTGTCTCTTGCATAGTTTCGTGACGGGGGAAGGCGGCGACAGCGGCTAAACTAAAGGTTTTGCAAGGCTGTACAGCTGGAGCCCAGATGCTGACATTGACACGTCTTCGTGAAGCTACCAATTCCTGTATTGGCCTCTGGGCTGCAGGGCTCTGTTGTAATCATCATGGAGATAACGTGAAGTTTTTCACTGACTACAGCAGCCGTTCTACACTGCATTCCTTGTTCGATCCGTAGTACCCAGAGACTCACAGATCCTTTCATTAGGCAGCATACACAAAACCCTGCTAAGGCATGCTCCTGCATTTAAACCCCTGGTTACTACACCCACGTTCCGTGAAGGCCCTCTAGGAATTCTAGTGAATCTAGCCCGGGAGTCTATTGACTAGCGGTCTTCATGGAGGCCTCATGAACTTCAAGCTCAAAGCCACAATAGCCTAAACCCTATCGAAGTCTGCTCAAGATCCCTATGGACAAACCTTCTCTAGATTTCACAGCCCGGTTCCACGAATTTACCAATGGACCAACCGGTCGACGGAAGAAGCTCAAAACATGCCTGTGAGACTTAAAAAAGAAGATCGCGCGTTTACAGGGATGGTGTAAGGGTTGCATATCTTGAATAGAGGGTTTCGAGGTGGGCAAAGTCATGTTGCTACAGCGGCTTCGGACAGAGGACTGGTGGAGGAGTCTAGGCGGAGGGGTTTATCCTTCACCCTCCACCTCAGCCGCACCTGACTTTCATGGCGTGTCGTTAACCGTGTTATGAGATCAGGGCTCTTCAGGGTTTGTGGCTGATACAGGTTCTCTATGAGTTCTCTGTAGGGTTTGTAGGATTTCAGCTCCGGTTTAAGAGTTTGGGATGTGCATGGGGTAGCTGATTGGCTTGTTTTGAGTCGCGTTTGAATTTAGTCCGGGCCTTTGACTACGCCCCTAATTAAACCTCAATGACCCAGAAAATATATTCAAGAAGGGTGGGACGGCAGGTCCACCTTGCCGGATGAAGACAACATCAAGACTTAAGAGATTCATGGGCAGGTTTATAGGGATGTACGTAGCATAGCTACACACAAAACCCATACCAGGGGACTTATAATTCCACTTATAACTAGACCCATGGACCTCCAAGCGCGAATTCCGTGCGACTGTGGCACGCCCTTCTGACGCCAAGCGCAGTCTGCCAGGTAGGCAATCCTTGGCCCAGGCCGTCTTACGAGTCCGCAACCACAAGCTGTACCCCCCCCACCCTCCCCCCCTCAAAAAGGCTAAATCTTTCCAGGACGTGACAAAGTATCCTTTAATAGAAGCCTTATGGTTTTGAATAGTGGGGTTTAGGGTATGTTTGAGGTAGTTGGGGGTTCTAGGCTACCTGCACAGATGTGATTCCACGGAGTCGCAAGGTAACAGGCACTCAAGGGCTGGGGGCTCTTGGGCCTAAAGAAGGGGCCTTAATAATTGGAATAGTGTTTTGGGGGCCCATTATACCAGTAACTAGTATAATAAGGAACCCCGGAACTATAGCACTGGTAATTATTAGGCCCCCACCTTAAGCTGCAAAGTCACACCCGAAAATGGACAAGTTCAATACGCCCCGCAAGCATTCCACATCAGGCCTTCAGCGGTTCGGCGGCCAAGGGGTTACTCAGACTTGGGGCTACAAGCGCATTGTTACGAACATTAGGGTGTAGGTTTAGGGTTTACAAATATGCTACACAGATCCTGGCCTTCCGCTACAACAGCAAGCCTCAAAAGGTGGGCTGAAGCTAAGTAGGCAGAAGGATCCCTTATATTGGGACTCTTATCTAGGAAACCCCGCCTACCTTCATCGCTCCCTGGCAGCCTTCTTCTGACAAACCCCTAAACCCTAAACCCTAAACAAGAAGCTTTTGCGGCGCTCCGCCACAGTTGACAGCAGTGCCCGGGTTGGTAAAGATGGCCTTGCCCTGCTTCCTGGAGACGGTTTAGGGTTGGGGTTTAGGGTTTAGGGTTTAGGGTTTAGGGTTTAGGGCTTAGAGTTTAGGGTTTAGGGTTGGGGGTTTAGAGTTTAGGGTTGGGGGATTAGGGCATTTTAACGGTTGATCATACAAATCTTGCAGCACCCACAATAAGGAATATACCATAATTCCCATAGCTTAGGGTCCTTAAGGTGATGCAGGATTTATATCATGAACCGAAGGACCTTACGATTACAAGGGTTTGAACAGCTTTATCAAGGTTTTTAAAACGGGGCTTATGTCTGATCTATAGAAATCCAGAAGGTCTCATCAGACTGTCTTGGCGGGTTTCATATTTGCGAAAGTTCAAACCTTTTAAGGTTTAGGGCTGACCGTTTGCACCCTTAGGGTTTGGAAACTCATGCCGCAATGGTTCCTATAGGAACAAGAGTGCCCAACCAATTGTACAGGGTGTTAAGGTGCACATGCTGTGGCTAGAGATGTCACTGCCAGGAACCTGAAGTTCCAGTATCCAATTACCATCATGCTCACCCAAATAGTAATCTACATGACTACTATCCAAAACCCGAGTACCTAAGTATTGGCTTGGGACCCTTCGGGTTGGGGCTTAAGGTTAGGGCTCCTTTGATAAGGGATCCTTAAATGAGTCATTCAAGGGGTGTACGGGGTTCCTTTGAGGGGAGGGATTGGGGGCTTTTGAGTCTAAGGACTCAGCGTCAGCGTTCAGGGTTTGTAGACCTGGGCGCTGCAATCGAAGTAAACCCAACTGATTCATACAGGGGCTTTAATTATCAGAATAGGGTTTGGGGGCCCATTATACGGCAAGAAAACAAAGGAACACCCAAAATAGCATTGGTAATTATTTCGGCCCCTATATTAGTTCACCTCATCCGACACAGCCGGCCGGCACCGCCAAACGAAATGCCGTTCAACCCGAACTGAAAGTGTTCCAAGATGGTCGAGTCTCGTTGCTTCGATGTTTTCCCAGACCTTCGAGGAGTATTCGTAGGAATAGATCGAGGACACGCCATTCTTGCCTCGATTGGCTGTCAGTGGTTCAGTTCCTAGACCTAAGAGTAACCGAGTAATAAACAGGGTGGCCTTTTTGGTTGATGAAGGGGATTATAAGGGAACCTGAACCTAAAAAAGGGAACAAGGGCTTGCTCTGGGTCCTAGGTTCTGGCTAGCACTCGCATTGAAAGTGACAGGGGACGCCCCGAAAACCCACACAGGCTGCAACTGCACTGATTGAGAGTTTTAGAATTTATTATACAGCCCTTAGAACCATAATCAAAATGTGATTGTTAATATTCTCTTGTTTGGGGTTTCGGCCATGCAAATCTCTGAACTGTATGAGCCGACCCAAAGAGAAGTGATACTAAAACTATAAAAGGAGCCCCCAAAATAGGATTTTAGGCCCCTATAGTAGTAATCAGAACCATCACCAACACCCGAGCCCTGAAATCGTGAAGCCGCAAACCTGAAAATCTGAAAACCCTCCCAGGCAAAACCCCAAACCCCCATGCACACAGTAATCCCAAAGATCCTCATGTAAGCGGCCGAAAACCCTACACCTAGCCCAATAGCCAATAGCCGCAACAAAAACCAAAACATCCGAAACCGAACCCTCCAACATCCCCAATCTCAGAAATCTAAAGGAACACAAAAGGCCGAGTGTGTATGCATCAAACCCCCTAAACTTCCTGGTGTAGCCGGAAACCCGAAGCTCTTAAACCTAAGCCCTACACAATACAAGGGTAAAAGGAGGGACCCTTAATAAGGACCCCTAGGTATATACCCTTAATATATCTATGATATACACATTATATAGCCCATTGTAAGGTGTGGGTCCCCCTTAAGGGTTCCTCCTTTTCCCCTTTGAAACCATACAAAACCCGAAGCTCTTAAAGCTAAACCCTAACCCTATCCCTCCAAGGACCTCATAGTTAGGGCCCTAGACCCCTTAAACACCCTAAGGTCCCTGGAGGCATAGGGTAAACAATACAAGGTTTCCCCTAAACCCCCTAAACCCCCAAACCCCTAAACCCTAAACCCTATACCCTTATAGAATCCCTATAGATCCCTTTAAAGGGTCCCTCCTCTTCCTCACAAGGAGCCGATTGTGTCCATCAAACCCGGCACAAGGCCGAAGTTTTGTTGGAGCCCGGCAGTCACGATCAAGACGTCGTACTCGACTTTGCCACCACCTCGGGGGGGAACCCGAGGCTGCTTCAAGGCCCCTTTCTGAAAGCGATCTTAGAAGGTTCTATACGGTAGTTTCCGAAAACAGGGGACCCTAATTTAGTACCCTACTAAATAGTAGGGTCCTTATTGTAAGGACCCCAAAATGAGATACCCCTAATTGCCGGAACCCATGCGGGTTCTCAAAAGCTTCCAGAGTTGGGTTTCACGGTGAAGCCATGGTTCGAGAAAACTCTGAGGTCTAAGGATTTTTGGCTTCCCGAGTTTCTGTATCAATAGGCCAATAGGGTCTTCTTTCGCATCAAGCTACTGGGGAAGCCCATTTGTAGGGTGCTTCCCAATAGCTTGCCTAAAGCCTAAACCCTAAACTCCAAACCCTAGCCACAAATCAAAAACCAAGGAGACCCGCAGACCAGGGGGCCATATGCCAAACCAAGCTTGGCGAAACCAGCTAAAACAAAACCACGGGACTCCCCTAGACCTCAGGCCCTAAACCCCGAACCCCCAAAACCCCTACGACCCTGAGCCCCTAAGCCCTGAGACGCTAAGACGAAAGCCTCGCAAAACGCTACGACACCACCCTAAGCCATAAGACCCTGAGACCCAAAAGACCCCAAGCCCCAGACTCCACAAAGCCCTTCCAAGGCACCTTTCAAGGAGATGCTGTTGCTGTCCGGCTCGAAGGTCGCACAGCCCTCCTTTACCTGGGTTTAGGGTCCTAGGGTGTAGGGGGTTTAGGGGTTAGGGTTAAGGGTCTAGAGGTTCGGGTTTAGGGTTGAGGGGCTTCGGGTCTGGGGTTCAGAGTTCAGGCAGGGAGAAAACGGCTCAAAAATGCAAGTATGTAGGTATGCTTGTTTATAGGTAAACAAACTCGGAAGAAAAGCGAAACGCAGATGCTGCCTGTAAGCCAGCCAACTCCAACCAACAGCCAGCAACCACAAGCGCACAAACACCGAATCCAAACCCCCGAACACTAAACCCCAAACCGAAAGCATCGTACTGCGGAACCCAGATGCCCAGGAGACGCCTGTGGGAATGACCTTCGGAGAGCTCCAACGGTTTGGGGGGTCATTTGGTTGAGGGTCATGGCTTAGAAGCTAAGGTTTGGGGTTTCGGGGTTCCTTGAAAGGGATCTGTAAGGTTACTATAAAGATAAGGGTATCATAGGGTTTAGGGCTTTAGGGGTTTAAGGTTTATGGTTTGGGGTTTAGGATTTAGGGTCGCCCACAATCACTCAACAGATTTTCTGCACCCGGATCTCGACAGTCAATCTAGCCCAAATCCCTCTGTACAGCTGGTCTGGGGGTTTAGTGTATCGGAATTGTAGGGAAGTTGGCCTATGACCTAGGATGTATATAGAAATCAGGGTGTAGGGTCTAGGTACGAATTCGTCGAGACATTAAACCCACAAACCCCAAACCCAAAAAACCTCCACACACTAAACCCTAAAACCCTAAACCACTAAACCCTAAAACCCTAAAACCCAAAACCCCAAAACCCTAAACTTATAAAACCCTAAACCCATAAGAACCCTGGTGCTAGAAGTCCCCAGGGATCTTTCCTTAACCGTTTTGGAACCCTCCCTAAGCTAGATCCTTCTAAGGGGCTCCAAAACACCCTTATAAAAGCCCTAAACCCTAAACCCTAAAACCCTAAACCTTCAACCCCTAAACCCTAAACCCCTAAACCCTAAACCCCTAAACCCTAAACCCTAAAACCCTAAACCCTAAAACCCTTAACCCTAAACCCTACCTAAACCCGTCCTTGCTCATGGGAAGCACGGACTTCTCTTTGTCCAAGCCCAGTCCTACAGGTGTCGGGTCGGGGTCTACTTGGAGGGTCGGGGGACTTAGTAAGTAGTTATTATATAGACTTTTAAGTACCTTAATAGGGGCCCTAATTGGGGTTATGGTACATATAACTCTATAAAATAACTACTTACTAAGTCCCCCGACCCTCCAAGTAGGATTTATAGGCGGCTCAGGCTTGGGTCGGGTTTAAGACGGTTTAAAGGGAACTCCAGAAAGTTGGAATATGGTTTCTTGGCTATAACTTACCATAGAAGGGTTAAGATAATCATATTCCAACTTTCTGGCTTTTACCTTAGGGTTTAGGGTTTAGGGACCCTTGGGGCTGGGACTGGGGTGTAGGGTCTAGGGATCAGGATTCGGTTTGCAGTTCACGTAATGTGGGATTTAGGATAATTAGTGTAGACAGCACATGAGGTCTGAATATCCAGACGAGCTGTCGAGATCTAGCTTTAGTATTTAGGGCCCGGAATTGTAGTTAGAAGGTCTTATACAGGCACGTCGTCCTTCGTCGAGGGCATCCGGCTTCGGCTGTGATGTTTACAAGACCAAGAGAAACCCCTAAATCATAAACGCCTAAACCCTAAACCCCTAAAACCCCTAAACCCCTAAACCCATTTCGGGGAGATCTAGCTTCTGAAGGTAGGATGGCCGTCCAGTCTGATGGCCCAAAGCTCATACTCGTGCCGAAGAAAGCTTGGCAGACAAGTTCTGAAGGACCCTATGCTCCACCGCTACATAGTATCTCCTTGAAGCTTGAAAAAAATTTGAGGGGTTTGACCCAACTTGTTGGGGGCGGCGACGATTCCCCGTCAGCTTTTGCGCTCTGAACTTAGCCGGTTCGTATAGATGTCTGAAGACGTAGTTAAACCAAGGTCTCGGGGCTATTATACGATAATAAATGTGTTAGTAGACACTGAAGAGTGATGACTTCGGCGCCTGCATGTGGGCCGCATTTCTTGTCTTCAGGAAGTTTGGGGTAGTTAGGGCATACGACTATGGCTTTAGTAGCTTGCATGGGTTTAGTAACTCGCTCCTCCTAGCAGCGCAAGCGCAGCAGGATTTCGGATGCGAAGCTGATGAGGCTATGAATGTTGACAGATTTGAACGTGTCGGGCGTCGAGCAGTCCATTAAGCCTGAGGATTTAGTGCATAAGGTTGAGGGTTAGTCTAGGATGCCCAGTAACCTAGGAATAAAAAGGGCTCCCTTTTTGGTGTTGGGTAACTTTATAAGGAACCTAGGACTACAAAAAGGGAATAAGGGTACTACTGGGCATCCTAGTAGTAGGGTTTAGGATTTAGAGCATGAGCTCGCCTCCAAGACCCAAGGACAGGGATTCCCCGAGAGGCACATCAACGCCTTTGCGGTTTAGGATCGAGTTATCCTGCAACCCAACAACTCTGAACGAACCCCTCACTCCTAACACCCCTCATCTCAGGCTGGAGGAACACCCCTCAAACCCTGAACCTTTGAGGTGTTTTGCTCTAGGGAAAGGATCATGGGACTTAGTAAGTATGGTTATAAGTACCTTAAGATAAGTCATTGTAAGTGTAGTTACCCTAGTAATAACCCCAGTTACTAAGTCCCATGATCCTCCAAGTAGGGAAGGGAGGTTGCCCTGACTCTCCTCCGACCATCGTCCAGTACGGCTGGTAGAAGTGCCTTGCAGACTCCGCGAACACCAAAGTTCCTAGAGCCTAGAACACCGAAACCACCTGAGCCTTAATACTGCTGATAGACAAAATCCCGCATGGCCCTATATACCTAAAGTAAAGGAATTATGGTACCATACCATAGTTAGGGTAATGCGGGCTTTTGTCCATCCACCGTACTTTAGTCCGGAACTTTGAGAATCTGAGTTCCTATCAGAGCCCAACCTAGCGCCCCAGGGAACCCGGGCCGTTGGGGCAGGAAGCCCTAGACTCTAGACTTCGAACCCAAGATCTTCCAATACCAAACTCAAGAGCCCAGAGGACCCTAAAACCCTAGACCCTAAATCCTAAAACCCTACACCCTAAAACCTTAAAGCGCCCAGACAACCCAGCGCCCAAAACTCCGAAAGCACCAAGATCACGAGACCCTACCTGTCCCGACCTCCATGTCCCAGAAGCCCTCTGCGCCCGGCATGGGTGGCACGAACCCTAAACCCTAAAACCCTAAACCCTAAACCAAAAGACACTCCACCCTCACAGCTCCCTAAACCCTAAACTCCCCTTGTTAGAGCAGGTACTTGTCCGAAGGCTCGATAATGGCGATCTCGGAGTGGAGGCTCTTTGGCAACTTCTTCATGAGCTGTGAAGCCTTGAAAAGAAAGAGACTCCATTCAGGGGTTGGGAGTCCATGGGTTTAGGGTGTAGGGGTTTAGAAGTTAGGGTTTAGGGGTTAAGGGCTTACGGCTTGGGGTTTAGGGGTTGAGGGTTCAGGGTTTGGGTTTTAGGGTTTGGGGTTCCGGGCCTAGGGCGAAACCTTCAAACGGAAACCTCTAGAACCGAAAAGAACTACGCTTAGCCCAGCTACCGTTCAACGTCATTCTTCAGGGCTTCATGTGTAGGATTCGAGCGCAAACCCTCAAACACGAAACCCAATGGCTATTTAGAAACCCTGAAAAGGCCAGACCGGAATAACTTGATAACTTCGGAACTTCGGGTCCAAAGTATACACTACCTAAACCTCCTAAAGGCAGGTTGCGGCAGGTTACATGCAAAAGCAAGTCAACTATGATCTCTTCTTGCCCGGATGAAATCTGCCATAACCTTGCTCATCGCTAATTACCCATAACCCCCGTAGAGAAAACTGGATGTCTGAGAGCTCGACTATTACTGTCTTGAGCTGTTATATACCACTTATCTTGTACTATCCCAAAGGCTCCATGTACCTTTATAGTGAATACTTAGGCCTTTAAGGATCTCTTTATAGGTACTTTAAGGCCTAAGTATAAACTATATGGGTACACGGAGCCTTAGGGTATGCTATAGCTTTATAATGTTCTATAACTTGCGCTGTGCTAGAGTTAGGCAGCCAGGACGCGACAGAGACACCCGCCGAGCCGCCGCCGATGATGGCCACACGGTATCTGAGAGGACGCGTCCAGGATTCAGGGATTACGGTTTAGGCAGTTTTGGGTCCAGGATTCACGGTTTAGGACACAAATCAGGGGTTCAGGAGTTGGTCATCGGATTTGCAGTGTTCGGTTTTCAGGATGTGTGGTTAAATGTTAGGGTTGTGCCCTGACACTTCAGATCAACACCTCACATCCGGTTGACCCTTCCCTCCAAGAACAGATGCTGTCATCATCGGAGCCTGAATAACTCGAAGAGGGCCTCACAATTGGTTTAGGGCCAGTTTGGGAGTTTTGGGTTAGGGCTGACAGGTGTATACACTCAGTATCCTGCGTTTACTATTCTGTAGGGATACGTAGAGGGACTATACCAGAAAAGTAAAATTATCGTTAAGTGAGGGACAGGTATGCTGAAACCATCCCAAACCCTGAAGTTGAAATAGATGAAGAATGGGTAACCCTTGCAGCGACAGCAACCGCAACCCCCATCGGTCACCTTCGAACTGACCGTCACAGCTTTACAGACAGCAGCGGCTGCAAAGAAGCAGTTACGCCAATGACGACAGTATGGTGCCAGCAATTCTGAGGACCGCTACGATTTCGGCGACGCTACTACTCCTGTGCTGATGATGTCAACTAGCAACGACGCTGGAAGTACTGATGATGGTCGTGATGATGCTGGTGGTGGTTCATGGCGACAGTAAAAAAATCGGAAAACCACGGTGTGATGATGACGACTGGCATTGCTCAGGTTCTCTCTGAATACCACATTCACTCTCCCAAGACTACCCCACTCTCATATGACACAACGCACATGCACAAGGCCCTTTATGGGGGTTTCCGAAAATCGGGAACCCTGAAATAGTACCCGAAATAGCAGGATCCTGACTATAAGAACCCCAGAATATTGTACCCCTCATTTCCGGAAACTCCCTATATGAACACTGACCCTAAGCTCCCAACCCTACACCCTACGCCTTCTACCCTGAACCCTAAACGCTAAACCCTGAACCCTAAACCCGAAGCCCTACAGCCCTACAGCCTGAACCCCTAAAACCGCTAAGTGCATCTTCGATGCTTCGCTGCGGGACTCTGAACAGGCGTTGCATGGCCGCCCAAGAGTCGGGACAGGCTAAAGAATCCGCGCACTCCTGCGAATACGAAGGTATTTATGAAGGTTCTGGAAACAGTTTTACGGCATATTGACCTTCCACGGGCGGTTAGGGGTTTAGGTCTGTCGAAGTAGCTTCAGTTGGGGCATAGGGACATCAAGAGCCAATAGTTGCTTCAGGCTTTGGGATTAGGCCAGCCTGAGCTACTGCACCCAAAAGTTTGGCACTAAAACCACCAGCAACCAGAGCCACCGCCACCACTGCAACTGGCACCAGCACCAGCACCATGACTGTGACTACGACCACGACGCCGGCGACGATACGACGGCGACGACGACTAGTACTGCTTAGACAATTACTACGTAAGACTACATAACCACCATCGGAACTACGACGACCACAATTTCCACATCTACCACGACGAACACGGATCATGAAGCAAGCAAACTCATGCCACTCCTTTTGCCACTGGACCAGTCATGTTCCCGAGCCCAGCAATTCTCTATTCGTTTAAAATTTTTGCCCTGGACATGCAAGCGGGCGTAGTAATTATGCTGCAGGTCCTCGCGGGCGCATCATCGTGGCAGGCGTGAGGCGGGACAGAGCTATAGGCAGGTGCTACTTGGTCGCGCTGAACTGGAGCCCGCCACGTCATGGCCCTTTGCACCCTGTGTTAACCCTTGCAGCCCTTGCACATAACAAACCATTAAAGCCCAAAACCATAAACCCCTAATACAGCTGTCCCCTCAAATGGCTGTCAGCCCCAGAGGCCATATATATATATATATATATATATATATATAAGCCCTAAACCTGAAACCCTAATCCTGAAACCCAACAGAACCGGGGTCCCTTCGCATATGTGCAGACAGCGAGCCTAAGGGCCCAACTAACCAAGCCGAAGAGACTCCTAAAACCACTTTAGGTTAAGCTTTGTAGTTGTAGTTTAGGGTTTAGGGTTTAGGGTTTAGGGTTTAAGCTTTCTAGTTGTAGTTTAGGGGTTTAGGGTTTAGGGGTTAAGCTTTGTAGTTGTAGTTTAGGGTTTTGTGTTTTGGGTTTAGGGACATGCTTGGAAGAGAGCCGAAGAAGCATCCTGTAAAACTTCAAGACTGAAGTCTAGGGCAAGGATCTTGGAACGATTTTGCTTCCTAGAAGAGCCTCAGCAAACCTGAAACCACGGGGGCTTTAGAAGGCGCGGGGCTTTCGGTTTCTGGCTGTTGGGCTTCATTGGTGGCCCTAAACCCCAAACCCCAAAAGCCCTAAACCTTGAACCCTAAACCCTACATCCTAAAGCCTAAACTTGGAGGGACTCGCAGAAACGCCTGCTTCTTCTCGTTTCCGAAGTAGCGCCCCCCGCCGGTGAGCCCACGCTTGTCCTGGTCCGACTCCCTGAACTCGCAGAGGAGCCCTTAAACGAGCCGTCAAAGCAACTCCTTAAAGAAGCCCTCGGCGGACCCAAAGAAGGGCTTAGGGTGTACAGGAGTATGATGGATTATTTATGGTTTAGGCCTTGAGAGGCTAAGGGTTTAGCCTGTTTAGTCCTGAGAGCACAAAACAGAGACCTCATCATGATATGGGAGTTTCCGAAAATAGGGGACCCTAATATGGTACCCTAAATAGTAGGATCTTTGTTATAAGGACCCCAAAATAAGGTACCCCTCATTTTCGGAAACTCCCATATGGGCTAGGACAGGTTTGTCTTCTAGGGCTCCGTGGGTTCATCATTTGTCGGGCGATTGGGGTCGACATGAGGGGCGGGTAGGGGCATCAGCCAAATCTGACAGGTTTAGGGTTCAGGGCTTCAGGATGTAGGTGCTTTTAAGTCGTGGGGTTCCTGCTAGGGACCCGCATGTGCACGCTCGAAATCTCCGCTGAAGATCCCGTAAGACCCCAGAGCCACTCTGCCTCGAACTCCGAACCCAAAGCCAGAACATAGCCAGCAAGCTCTAAACCCCGAACCCTAAACCCTGAGCCCAACATCCTGCATGGGGTATGTTTAGGGTTTAGGGTTTTAGGGTTTCGGATTTAGGGACTACTACGGGGAAGATCGACGGTCACTGTCGGAATCGCGGTCCTTTGGCGTGAGTGCGCCGACATGTTGCTGCACATAGCGGCTGAACAGGGGATAGAGGTCGTTCAACTCGTCATCGGAATCCGACTCCTGCTTCCAGCGAACATCGATGATTGAGAATCGAACTTTGGTTTGCACTTGTGCCGGGGCCTAAACTGGAACAAGCCTACATATTGTTCAGTGGCACTCACTAGATCCATAATCTCCATTATAGTTCTATGTAGGGTACCTGCTTTCCTCTTCAACTTCTACTGATCTGAGTTAACCAAAAACAGTCCAAAACAACAAAGTCACATTGAAGAGGGCAGGTGCGGTTGAAACAGCCCTTAGATTTATTTGGCTGCTTTTGTTAAGGCCAGTTTCATTACTGGCTTTCTCAATAAGAAATCATTGGCACTCATCACGTGTTGTTGGCTCTTGACAACATTGTGGAACATCATCACACTGAATATTAATACCACCATCAGTCTGCAACACTGAAGCTTGGTGGTGGGCATGACAGGTGACGGATCCGGAGCCCACGTGTGTCAGCCGAACACAATATCTAAGTTTTCAACTTTCGAACTAACACAAGGAAATTGACCACACGTACAGGCTCGGCATGTGCGAGAAAGTGGGTTTCAAAGGCGGGAGGGGGGAGGGGCGCCCAGGACTGCTGGAGGAACAATCGCGAACCCCTGCAAGCAATGCAATCGGTCAGTGTCGCAACTCCAACAGGACCTGCAAGTACTCTAGGCCCGGACGAAAGCTCCCGAACTACGGATGCATTCAAAGCTCCAAGCTGGATGCATGCCACAGTTCTAGACGTGTGCCTGGGATGTACGGTCATCTACAAAAGGGTCTGCAGGCTTGAGCATCGTCGGCAAGTTGCACCTCCCCTCAAATACCCAACTACTAAGCGAGCACTGAGGACAAGTCGCTCCGACTTGAAGCGCCAAGAACCGAAGCGACTATGCAAAGTCCTCGTAAATGTCACATATAGCATGCAGCGATGAATAAGTCTTGGTGTGCTTGCCCTACCGGCACAGTACCCTACTTCTTCTCGACGCTCCTTCGACCTAAACGAACTCGGTAAAAACAAAAAAAACGCGACCTCGATGTCGCCCAGGTCAATGTCCTCCCAGTGAGACCCAAGTGACAGAAACGCTCATGGCTTACATGAGCGCCACAAAGCCTACGTTTTGAGGAATTACATGCCCTAAGGCCCCAAAGTAGTTCCTTTTTAGTGTTGATATTTAGAATCCTATATGGTAATCCCAAAAAAGAACTATTTTGGGGCCTATGGGTAATAAGGAACCCTGCGAACATAGCTGTCCAAAGGATGGTACCGAGGCTTCGGGTTCGGGGGGATAGAGGTCAACACGATTCGATCCGGGAACATTTTAGGGTATAGGGTTTAGGGTATAGGGTTTAGGGTTTGGGGTTCAGGGTTTAGGGTTTAGGGTATAGGGTTTAGGGTTTAGGGTTTAGGGTTTGGGGTTTAGGGTATAGGGTTTAGGGTTTAGGGTTTGGGGTTTAGGGCTGCAACTACTTAAAGACAGCTTACATGAAGGTTAGGTTAGCACTTGTTGGCACTGCTGTTGGTTTTGTTACGCTGTATGCTCAACCCTAAAACCTGCCAGCAAACCCTCGGCTTTTGCCAAAAAGGCATGAGCGCTGTCACTCCAAGCCTTACTCACTGGAAATCGTCCAAACAGATTAGAAACCCAACCTCAGCCGAAAGCTATGAAGGCCCAGCTCATTGCCTGGAATGTAAACCAAACCTGTATAGCTCCAAGACAAGTCTTCCTGCATCAGCACGTCAAACCACAAAGATTCAAACTGCGCTGTGAGCTACAAGTATGCCACTGGCCCCATACCGTAATAAACCCTACCCTAAGCCCTACACCAGTACCTGAACCCAGATAAACTCATAGGGATCCTTAGGGGTGTAGGGGGGAGGGGTGTAGGGGACTATATTTCCTTAAATAGGCCTTATTAGTCCTTATTATGGGCATTAAGGCCCCCTACCCCCCCTCCCCCTACACCCCTAAGGGTCCCTATGACAGTACCTGAACCCAGATAAACCCGAAGCTAGGGTTTCGGGTCTCAGAACCCCCCCGCAATGAAGTCTGTAGGGTCCATACTAGGGCTACGAGGGACCCGGCACTGGTAGGTTACCCAGAGGCCCCATAGTAGTTCCTTTTTGGGGTCCGTATATAGAATCCTGTAAGGTCATCCCAAAAAGGAACTTCTATAGGGCCTCTGGGTAAGGTGAAGCCTGAGACTTGCGTTCTACCGTAGGGTTGGGAGTTCGCGGTTCTGATGGCGATGACTTTGAGGCTGTGCGACGTAGCGTGATTGCCACCATGCTGGTTTGGCAAAGACTCCAAACTCCAAACGCCTGCAACCTGCACCCTTACAGGATTCTATATACGAACCCCAAAAAGGAACTACTGTGGGGCCTCTGGGTAACCTACTAGTGCCGGGTCCCTAGTAGCCCTAGTTAGAAACCCAGACCCCAAACCCCACAACCCATACCAACCCTGGGTTCTGCTTTAAACCCTTTGAAAACTATTTGTGAATAGGTTCCCTTTCATAAAGAAATAAGGGAAGTTATAAGTTGTCCCAAAGCACAACCCAGAACCCTAAACCCTGAACCCCTCAACCCTAAACCCCTAGAGCGCTAAACCCCTAAACCCAGAACCCTAAAGCCTTACTCCCCGTCCTCCGGGTGTGCGAAGGGGCAAGCCGAGCTGTCGTGCCCAGGAAGTCCGCAGCTGTCCAAGGCGAGAGGTGCTTCAAAGAGTTTTAGGGTTTAGTGTGGTTTAGGGTTTAGGGTGGTTTAGGGTTTGGGGTGGTTTAGGGTTTAGGGTGGTTTAGGGTTTAGGGTTATTTTTCGGATTTGCTGGAAGGGTTTATATAGTATAGGGGCCTTAATAATCAGTACAGCGTTTTGGGGTACAGTGTATTATCTGTATGTACAGATTCTACGAGCATACTGCACTACTTACTACTCCGACACTCCTATTGCTGCTTGAGGGATGAGGGGACTTGTAATCGTACATACCAAGTTCCATGACCCACCAAGTTGGGCACCTGCGCTTTGACTGGCTGCATTCGGCTACTGCAAATTTATTGTTGTTGGGTGTTCTAGGAGTTAGGTAGATCTCTGGGGTTGAAGAGTTGAGGCAGAAGGTTCCCGTGCTAAAGCATTTAGCAGGGCATGCTGTTTTGATCTCAAGAGACCCTGAAACCGTAAACCCCAACAACTCCGCTTCGAGCATGTAGCCCCCGACGGAACCAGTGGCACCCTCCGACAAGCCCAAGAACACTTCTGAAACGAGGGCGGATGAAGATTGCATTGGCTCTACCGTCGGGTTCCGTGCATATCATCCACGACTGAAGAAACTGCTTGTTTTGATTCAGTGCCCTGAACATTAGGAGGACAAGGCCCCGGAGTTTAGAGAACAGCATGTACATGTAGACCCTGCAGTTTCAGCTTGCGAACTTCAAAGCCAGCAGATTT